CATCCCTGGAGGTATTTAAAAGACAGATAGCTGTGGTTCTTAGGGACATGGTTTAGTGGTGAACTTGGCAGTGCTAGGTTAACGGTTGGACTCAATGATCTTGAAGGTCTTTTCCAACCTAAATGATTCTATGATTCTGTATCATTTTCTATTTTTAAAAGATTTTCTTAAAATAACCAAATGCATTCTGCTCAAACATTTCACCTTTAAGGGACTTGTTCTTGGTGCAGTGTAAGCAAAATTCTGGCAATTCAATCAACCATGCCCTTAGTCTTCAATAGACAAAGGAAACAGGCTATAGTTTAGCATTGTTCATTAAAATCCATAGCAGCTATTCCTTTAAAAATCATTACTGTTCTAAACAGTGTTCTACTTTCAAACTGAAAAGTTAAACTAATATAAATCCTATGGGTCACAGACAGCAGTCGTCTTGGTTTCATGGGAAGCATTGCTACACTATTCATATTACTCCAGATTTGCTCCCACAAGATGCATCTCTTGTTCTCATTTATAGAAAACTGGACAGGCACCATTTTGCCTCAAGGTAATTTTCATTATTTCAGTGAACTGATGGTCTGATGGTTCAGTTAAAAGTTAGTTTGCCTTCCCAGGAAATTATTTAAGCTGTTAAAAAATAGAATACCTCTCTGAGTTTCAAAGTGAAGTTTTTTGGTATTAGACATTCCAGTGCTCCCTAGCTAGGCAATCATCCTGTGATTACTTTTAAACCAAGTACACTGATTTAACGATATGCAGTTTGGAAAGAGGTTTTTCCCATCTTGTCTGCACTGCGGGACTTTGTCACACAATCAGCCCCAGCTCCTCTTCTACCAGTGGCAGTAATGTTAGGTGGAGCTCTGAAGGCTGTCGAAGGAGCAAGAAGGCACTGTGCAGAGTGCTTGAAAGCTTTTTTTCTCCTTCAAGTTGCTCATGCCTGCAGGACATACAGAATGAATTGTAGGTCAGGTTTTTTAGAAGAGAGGAGAGTTTCTTTGTACAAATTATTTGTGCGTATAGAGCAAGTCAGAAATGTATGTACCATGGTTGCTTTCTTTTAGGCTGCAGACAATTGCTTTTAGATACATAGAGAATAATTACTTCTGGAAGGAGTAATTTAGACTGTAATAATAATAATGCAGTTTGGAGTAGTGCATCAAGGAAAGCAGCTATGGTACATAGATGCTGGCTCTTCTGAATGCAAAGAGACAATTCAGGAGTCTCAACAAAAGTTGACTTGGCTGAGTATAGAAGAACCGAAGTAGTAATTTAGTTGAAAATTGTAATTTACTGTAGCTATTAAAAAAAATGCATCCAGTATGCTCTGTACGGAAACATACTTGCTTTTGACAGCAGTCACAACATTGGTGCTTCCAGCCGAGGCTCTGTATTTCAGCAGTGTTGATTCACTAAGCATTGTCATCAGCAATCATCGTCTCTAAGCTGTGTCCTTTCTAAGCATGGTTAGAGTATTGTAGGAGAACCAGCAAATTCTCCTCTTACTTCCATTTTGCATCACTAATTCCAGTGAACAAAATTGTTCTCCCAATCTCTTGGTATATTATCTGTCAGCATGTTCCTGTAAGTTACAGTACAGAAGGTACAGTATGTGAGTCCATATGCACAGCTGCTGCCTGTATGACTAGGTCTGCCTTCTTCGTTGTGAGAATTTTTGTATGGATTTCAGAAGAGAAAACAGGTTAACGGATAAATGAATGCAGCCAATCATTATTCTAGGATTTCATTTTCATTGGATGCTTGTTAGACATCTATGGGTCTTTGTTGGATACTTGGGAATTTGCAGCTCCTTGTAAAATTCAACTGAGTCACGGTTCCTTTATTTAGCTTGCTGGAAGGATGTTCTGCAGAGAAGGGGTATCTAGACAGGTTTTAAATTGGGATAAAGAGAAGTTGAATAGTTCTGTTGTAATAAAGAGCAGGGGAGTGAAGGAAGGAAGGAAGCAAGCCAGTCAGCCAGCCAGCCAGCCAGCAGAGGAGCAAGCAGAGAAGGAGTTGTGAATGTCCCCAAGGATGAAGGCATCAAGTTTAACCATGAAACAAAGGAGGAAAATAACAAAAGTACTCTTTAAAAGGTTAAGAAGGTTGTTATATTTAGGTAAAATAACTTTAGCACCCTCACAGAAGTAACCCAATTTAGCTTTCACCATGGAATCAAGGGGTGTGATTGACTCCTTGGATCATCTGCAAGTGTCTACAATGTCTTGTCCACATCTGAGCCAATTGCTCTCCTTTTTTAATCACTGGAGAGAAATGGAAATGTTTTGGGCACATTCACCTCCTTCTAAAGTGAACCTCTAAAACAAATTAGACAAACCATATACTAAAAATACCAATTTGTCTTCATTAAGCATACAAAGGAGGCCATGGTGTGCAAGTCATCTGTAGAATCTACCTTCTAGGTATCTAAAATCAGGCAAAATGTATACTGCCTGAAAGATACTGAATCAGTTTGTGACTAAATGGGATCATGGACTCTATATTATTTAATCTCTGCCTCAGTTCCTGTCTGCAAAGCAGCTGAAATGCTCCATAATTTTCTCCTACTCTCAGTTTATCAGGTTTATTTCAATAGAAGACCTTGGAAGCAGGGACTCTGCCTTACTAGCCAGTATCTTTCTTTCCAGTACATAGCCCCACTCTCCTTTGCTGTGCTGGGTATCACGGTGATACTATTCAGAGGAGCAGTGACCTGTGTGTGTACTTGAATTGTGTGTATCATATATCGTTGTACACAACGAGAAGTCTGCAGGTTGCTTTGCTTTATACCACTCTCAAGCAGCTTATCCTTAGACGTGTAGTTCTAGATACAATAACTCAGTAAGGGAAATGTAAAGGCTTGACACGTTTCTTACAGAGGCTTTGATTTCCTTTTTTTGCTCATCCTTCTGTCTTGACAGACAATGTTTGAAACATTATCAGCTTTTTTCCATGGTTGTTGGGTTGGTTCCTGGCAGTAGAAGCACTGGTTTGCAAAGCCTCTGATGCCTTACTCCCATTTCTGTGAAATTATCTCAGTTGCTGTGGTGTAAATCTTTCTTCAGTGAGGCAAATCAGATTAGGGAGCTGATGTAGTCTCAAAATAAGCCAGCAGAAACAGTGGTTACTAATCCACATCAGTTCCTTGGTGCCATTCCCTGCAAGGAGAAAAGTGCTGGATATTAGTGGAATGAAAATAACCCTTAGACTGTGAACAACCCACAAGGCTCACTGTATCATGATGTACTGCAATACTTCCTACTTGTAACAGCAGCGAGCTCTCATTAAAGCTCTGTCCCATTATGCCAAATACACAAGGCTTCTGAAATGACTGTCCAGCTTCTTGGGGTCACATGCTTTTTACTGCCACAGGACTCATGAAAATGTACGAATTCATCTAACAGAAGCAGGATGAAAGCACCCACAGGCTTATCAACCTCTTCCAAATATATCTATCTCAAAATGATGTACTTAACACATAGAAACTTTTCCTTTTGACTCATTGTTCTAAGTTTCTCTACCCAAATCCCACCCTCAGATTTTTACTTACCTTTGACTTTGTAGTTTATGGTAGTTCACTCATTTTACAGTGGTCTTCAGGGATTCTTTGGGTGGAAGTTATTTTTACTGAATTAATTTCTTTTCTATGTAATATTTACCTATAGTCAAAATATCCACTGTATTAAATGCTTTTGTTCATATGCTCTCTGTTACTAGAAGATTAAGCTTTAATTTGTCTCAACTCCTAATGAACCCATTGTGCCTCTGCTTGGGTGAGTTGCATGTACATTCCTTTGGGGATTAATGCCTCTGTGCTACCAATTTCTTCAGTCTTCTGATGGCTTGCTGTAACAGGCCAGACTTATCTACCTATTGCAAATGATGCCTTCTGCAAATATCATATTCTAGAAAGTCAAGGTTTGTAATAAGAAGCAATATAATTTATTAGGTCAAGTGTGACATAGTCAGACAATATGCCGTAAAAGTTCTCAGGCATATAAACTCTTCACACCTGAAACGGAAGAAACATACTTCAAGCCAAGTACAAAAATTGGTCTCAGTTCAGTTTCATTATTGTTAATCACCATGACCGTCTGAGAGAAAAGGGTAGTTAACATCTACGAAGCTGAGGGAGCTGTTGGTAAGGAGAGAGGTGATAAGGTCAGTAGCCTCTACTGGAGAGAGAGGAACAGATTATTATCCCCTGTGCAGTCACGAGGGTTAGGAAAAGAGATACTGTGAAGAAAACTATATAATATGTGAGATAAAGTAGCCTTCTTACTAAGCTCTTGATTTTATGAATCAGAGCAGAATGATAAACTTTATATCCAGGCTCACCTTCTGAAGGTTTATGGATACTACAAGTGACCACAACTGCTTTGAAATGGAGGAATGCTGACAAAAAGAGACTCTTGATTTTCAATTATGAGTCCTTTAAAAGTATGCAGTCTGACATGTCTTGCCAGCATTGAAACTCTAGTGTCTATAAATGACTTCTTATGTAAAGGCATACTCATGTGCATGCTACGCTTGCCATAAAGACCCCTACTGCCTGATTCATATCTCAAAAGAAGATAACAGAAGTCACTCAAACCTGAAATTAGGGCAGGGAAAACACAGCTTGCAGGAGTGATTTTGTGTGGCTTGGTTACAGAATCTGGTGAATGATAGTAGCTTCACGTTTGTGGTCATAGAGCCAGCCAGAAATGTCAAGTCTGGAAAGCCAGGATGCCTTTGAAAAATTTACTCATCCAGAATGATTATTGAGAGCCTCTCCCTTTCCAAATAGGTCAACATTTCCACAGAGACCTAAAACTAAACGCAATTAGAATTGAAAGGTTTATTTGAATTCTATTTCATGTGAGTATTGCTGCACAGATGCTCTCAAAACACTAAGAAATATTTCATACGCAGTGTTTTTATGAAGCTTAAAAAATTAGCAGCTCAGTGAACAACCGTCTGTATCTCACCACAATGTCAATTTATTTTCTATGCTATTATTGCAGGTGATTATGTAGTCATGACTATATACTTCGACTTAAGTAGAAGAATGGGATACTTTACTATTCAAACATACATTCCCTGTATATTAACAGTTGTTCTTTCCTGGGTATCCTTTTGGATTAAAAAAGATGCCACACCAGCAAGAACAGCATTAGGTAAGTTGTTAATAATTCCCTTTTCTGCTCTCTGTGTAGTTTCTACACTATCATTTGAAAATGTCTGTTTCCTTTCAAAGAGACCACTAGCTATATGCTTTGGATTATCGCTACCGCATCTTGCAGACCCAGATCTACTTATCACTGAAGCCTCGGGTTTTCTGCCTTTAACAGGGTAATTAAAAGTAAACTACCCTGACCCTTTGGAATGACACTGCCACCTATTTTGCATAATATCCTAGAATTAATGTCTGTCTCCTTGTTCTCAGTATATTTTAGTGACATTTTTAAAGAATAAATTAATTGCACTGCTGGCTTCCCTCCCTTCTGAAACTCTCCCCCACAGGGCATTATGTATCATATATACAGAAAACTGTGGGATATAATAATATTAACTCATGCAAAGTGTTTTAGCTTGCATGCTTGAAGTTAAGCTCCACACTAAGCGTATAGATATTTTTCATAGTTTGTGGAGATTTATGCTGGTATAGGTTTTCCAGCAGCTCATTTATGTCAGGACCAGCATGTGCATTTTGGCATTGTGCTTTAGGATACACTTAGAAATGCTGACCATGTATTCTTATGTCTGTAAGAAAACCTGCAGGTTTTGCTATCATCAAGGGCATAGGGCTATATACTAGCCAATTATAGGTGTACATCAGAACCAAAGGAAAAACAACATTTTAGTCCAGACTGTGGTTGCCAGGGCTGACAATACTAATTGGTTCAGAAATCTACCAGTCTAGTAAAAAAGGGGAGGCTATGTCAAGGTTTACATGTCTGTTTTCAAGCGTGGAGATTACCGTTCCCACCGATTCATTGCTTTCTCCTGCTGCAGTTTGTTACCATCTCCAGTTAACCAGATGGACTCTCTAAATCATTTCAGTTTGAAAGAACAAATTATTAAAAACTGACCCACCTGACTTTTTGGACTGAAATCAGATGGGAAGCATTCACAGGAGCAACTGAGTCCCCAGGTTTGAGAGTGTGATGCTGCTGCAAGGAAAGACTGGAGGACAAGGGCTGTGAACAGGTGCACCTCCTTGGAGGACACATGAAGGCAGCCTGCAGCAGGCAGGGTGTTCTCGAGTGCTGCTGTGTGCTGACAAGCCTTCGTTCAACCACAGTATAGGAGAGGCCATCTGTACAAACCACCTCTGTCTTCCACTCCGCTAAACAGCTGACAAAGGGGACTCAGTACTCCTCATCCTTTTTTATCCAAGCAACTCATTGTTTACGAGAAATGGCGGTTACTTATATGTGAATCCATTTCTGTTAGCTCTCTTTCAAACACCATGTAGAGGTGCTGTACTTGATCTCAGGAGGAAGACGCCTTGTTTGACAACACAACCTTTATACAGTTGTTCAAAATTACTTGTCCTGTTTCAGCCTGTCTCTCTCCTGCACTAATAAATCTGAGCAACTACCAATTTTGAGGGTGCTGTGGTTTCTAGCCTAAAGGCCCTGAAGTGAAAAGTAAAAATGAAGTGCTAAAGAAACTTTGAAGTCCATTCACTCTGAATGATATTTTAGCTGCTAAGTCTCTTGAACTTGTCCAGGAGTCTGATCCCACTTTCTAAATTCTTACAAACATTTTTTCTCCCAAAACTTCTAATGCTTCAATAACTTAGTAACTTTCAGCTGAATGCTAGAAGAAATACATTACCAAAAATATCCTCTAACTCCCTCACTAGCTACAGCTTTATTTTAGCAATGAAACTATATGCCAGCCATGCCTGATACTAATCCTTAGGCATCTTCCTCGGGGGAGGTTGTATCAGCTTTAATTCTTAGTGAGTGGTGAGGGGCATCCTTTCAAACCAAGAGCAGCTCAGTAACAAGGAGCTACGCAACAGGATCAGTAGAAAGAAAAGTCCCAAACAACCTGTAATAAGAAAACTGCGAGCAGCTAACACTGGTTCACACTTTACAGATAATTCTGTATTAAAACCCATTTTGCGTGAGGTCAGCACAAAACCATAACCTGCTGGATTTGCTCCAGGAGTTTGTAAAATTAACAAATGTAGCAATTCTGACCATTATAAATAAAAAATGAACATTACTCTCCTTTGTCATTCCATCTTAAGCTCATTCACTAGAAAAACAAGCAAATGATCAAAACAGGTGCCAGATCAACAGGTGGAGAAATAAAGTTTATAAACAAGTGAGAGCATGGTTAAAAGCAGTACACCTTTCCTCCAGTGTCCCATCAACATATCCTTAGGAAAATAAGAAAAAATTAGCCTTGCTGACTAAAGAGTTTCATAGAATCATAGAATACCAGGTTGGAAGGGACCTCGAGGATCATCTGGTCCAACCTTTCTAGCACAACCTAGATGAGATGGCCCAGCACCACGTCCACCTGAGTCTTAAAACGTGTTCAGCGTAGCGGAGTCAACCACTTCCCTGGGGAGATTATTCCAATGATTGACTGTTCTCATTGTGAAAAATTTACCTCTCGTGTCCAATCGGAATCTCCCTGGGAGTAAC